CTTCTACCATTCTCTTCTTAATATCCTCAAACGCTCTAGTTGCGGCAGTCGTCCAATTAAATTCCCCTTTCTTAAGACAATCAGTTATGGGGGCTACAATGGTGCTGAAATTTCGAATAAACCTTCGATAGAAGGTGGCCAATCCATGAAAACTTCTAACATCCCGAATATTCTTAGGTTCTGGCCACTCATTTATTGCTCGCACCTTCTCAGGATCTGCAGATATCCCTTGATTTGAAATAATAAATCCAAGAAAGGTCACACTATCGGTGAGGAATTTGCACTTAGCAGGGTTGGCGAATAGCTGTTCTTTCCTCAAAACTTCACAGACCTGAGTTATGTGATTGAGATGTTGATCCTCCGAAGTGCTGTAGATTAATATGTCATCGAAGTAAACTACTACGAACTTTCCTAAAAAGGGCCTAAGAACTTGAGTCATAACTCTCATAAAGGTACTAGGGGCGTTGCTTAGTCCAAACGGCATAACAGTCCACTCATAAAGTCCATCTTTAGTTTTGAATGCCGTTTTCCATTCATCCCCGGGACAGATCCTAATCTGATGATACCCACTCTTAAGGTCAATCTTGGAAAAAAGAGTGGCCCCGGTCATCATGTCCAGCATGTCATCTAGTCGAGGAATGGGAAATCTATACTTGACAGTAATCTTGTTGATAGCGCGACTATCAACACACATTCGCCACGAGCCGTCCTTTTTGGGAGTTAGAAGAGCAGGAACAGCGCAGGGGCTGAGGCTCTCCTTGATGAATCCTCGTTGTAGGAGTTCATCAACTTGTTTCTTAAGCTCGGAGTGTTCAGTCGGGTTCATACGATAGTGGGGAAGGTTGGGTAGAGATGCCCCTGGTACTAAGTCTATCGCGTGCTGTATGTCTCGCAGGGGTGGCAGTTGGTTAGGCAAATCGTCTGGGAAAACATCCGCAAAGTTTTCAAGAAGGGGTCTAACGACGTCGGGGATTGTTTCTTTCTGATCTTCCTCTACTTCTCTAGCCACTAAGGCATACATGGGGGCTCCTTGAGTGATCTCAGTTTCTACCTCCTTTGCAGTCAGTAAGTGGAGGCCTTTACTTTGCTTAGCTGGGATAGGTTTAGCTTCAGTTTTGGGAGGTTTTGGTTGAGAGGGCATTAACTTGATCTTCTTTCCATTATGCTCGAACACACAGGTGTTCGTCCTCCCATAAATATGGACGTCGTTGTCAAATAACCAAGGGCGCCCAAGGATAATTTGACCCACATCCATGGTTAGAACATCGCACCAAATCTTGTCTTGATATCCCACAAATTCTATCGGAATAAGGCTTCGATCCTTAATTTCAATGGTAGTCGAGTTGATCCAAGAAACCTTATACGGATTTGGGTGCTGGGTCACCTTCAGATTGAGCTTGGAGACCATGGCTGAAGAGACTGCGTTGATACAACTTCCACTATCTATGATAACCTTGCAGCTCTTTTCTCCGATCTTAATGAAGGTATGAAAAATGGAGGTTCTTCGCCAATCGTCGCTTAATTTAGGTTGGGCCAAAGCGCACCTAACAACTTGTAAGGTCACAGGTTCCTCTTCCGTAAAAGAGTCTTCTTCCTCATCCACTTGGTGAACCAAATCAGTCTCAGGTTCTTCCTCCTCGTCGTCCACTTCTTCAATTATGGTGACTTTGTAAGGACTAGAACATTGCGAAGCAATGTGTCCGTACCCTTGACACCTATAGCACTTGGTTCCAGAACTAGGTTTGGGAGCGTCACGCTCGGGAGCTTTACCTTTGAGGTCGGTACGAGGAGGGGCCGAACTAGCAGGGGTTCGGTTTGCAGTCGATCCCGAAGGTCGGTTTTGAGGTTGTCCCGACGAGGCCCTATAAGAATTGGTGCGGGAGTCAAAGTGCCTAGTTTGGGAGTGGGTTCTGGAATCTTCGAGGTCGAGTACTAGGCTACAGGCTGCTTCCAAAGAGTCTACACCTCGAGCAAAGAGTTCCGTACGCATGTCTTCTCTAAGGCCAGCTCTAAACATAGAAAGGATTTGAGTTGGGGTGGCAGACTCTTCGCCATTGCAACGGATGAGGAAGTCATCAAAGGCCGAGATGTAGTCTTTGACAGGCTTGCTCCCCTGGGTTAATCTATTCCATTTATCAAGGAGCTTTGGGTAGTACGAAGGAGGGAGATATTTTCTCTTGAGTTCTTGCTTCATCGCCCTCC